CTGTTGGAAACAATTTAATTTTAAATAGCACACCATTTGCAGCAATTAGCTCATTCCGCACGAAAGCCAAACGAAATTTAATTAAATATTTAAGCCATTGGCGTGGCAAAGGTGCTTATTTTCCCCGTCAACGGGGCGTATACTCGCTGACCATATATGCATGTATATATATTTGTTATTTGCTCTGGCTGCATTATTCAATACGTTCGAGACGGATTGGATACGGATCAGGCGGGGAAATGGTGTGAAGAGCCTGAAATACAAACTCGAGACAATCAATTCTCAATCAATTTCCAAAGCACTTGTAGCATTTAAGATAACCAACTGGCCGACTGTAAGAGTGTTTGTTTGTTTGTTTGTCGTCGCCAAGTGGCTGTGAGTGTCTGTGTGTTGTGTTTACGAGTCGAAAGTCAAATCAGGCCATTTATCAAGTCCTGCGAGTCCTGGGAGCCCTTGGCCAGCCAATATTGCCACGCAGGTCAGGAACTGTTTGAGCTCATTTTTCAAGCCGGCTGGCGAACGGAAAGTTTCCCCTGGTATTCACCAAAAGTCCAATGTATATATATACCATATTGAATTTCAGTCACTTGTTTTTGCCAATTTTCCAAATGCGCATTTCAATTGAACGCCGCCCGAAAGTTTTCTTCTCAACCAAATAACAAAAAAAACATACACAAAAATACAAAAGGAAAATTCCAGTTCAGTGTTTGTGGGAAAGAGTCGGAAAAGTTTTCTCTGGGTATAAATTTCAAGAAAATCAACTAAATAAGCTTTGCAATAATAAAGTCAGTTAGTAATGAGCTGAGTTGGCAAAATGTGGTTAGCTGGTTCCTGAACTTTACGTTTTTTGAAGAAACTATAGTGCTTAAACTATATTTTAAGAATATTTAGTATAAAATATTTAAAATTTAAAAACGCTAAAAAAATTAAATATAAACGTAATAGATTTTCCGTTCTAAGAAATAACAAAGTATTCCAAACTTTGAACTCGAGGAATGTCTTTGGGAGATTCGGCCTTCATAAAGCCACACCCCCGCCGCAAATGGCCATAATTTAATATGGAAATTGATATTCGTATATATGTACCCCCCACATATATATTAACGTCTTTATCTTTGGCTGCTCGTCGCTTTCTGCTTCTCCCCGGAATTATTAATGCCACTTGCTCACTTTGCATAATGAAAAGTTCAACATTGTTATTATCATCAGCGAGTGCTCTCAAATTAGGGCTTAAAATGTCGCATGTCTTGCCAAATTTTTAATACGTATACATTCTAAGAACGTGTAGAAAAAGTTGCCTTAAAAAAGCCAGAAGAATGAAGGGAGCATTTTGTTGACTTGGCCGTGGCCTAAACCCAAACCACCCACACCACCCACCTAAGAAGCCCCGCTGACAGCAATTACAGGCCATGTTTTCGGTTCTTTGTTACTGTGTTACTGTGTTTTCATGTCATATAACAACGTTGTGCAATAAATCAAAAGTTGCCAACATGAAATGATTGTTTATGCTGCCTATAGTTAGGATACCATAACTACACCATACATACATTTAGCCACGTTTAAACAGGGTGATTTGTGGCTAATTTATTTATAGCGCGACTCGCACATAAAGCAAAAGCCAACACTTTGCCAAACAAACTCAACTTATGACAATGAACAATAAACGCCAGCGGCAATGGGAAACACACTATAACTATAAAATATTGTGACGTGCCACTCGACTGTGTGAAATGGAGCACAAGGCCGGCGAGTCAAACAATGGCTGACAAAGGAGGCCGAGACCGTCGGCAAATAGTGGCCAGTCCACAGTTCTCCATATTCTTGGTCTGGTCCTAGGTCCTAGGTCCTTCGGACATGGCGCCACAATGCAGGTCTCACACTCCCCCAGACATGCAGCATTGCCGATGGCTATATGCGAGTATCCATGTAAAGATTCCCTGTTTTTTCCCCACAGGTTTTCCCATCTTCACGACCCACACACAATGCAGAAAGTGAGAGCTGCACAGAGGAAAAATGCTGGAAAAACTCAGGAAGTCCCAAAAAGCGTCCTAATTTCAAAACAAAACTCTTGAGTTTTAGCCAAGTGGATAAACTTGTACTGTCATTTTGTACATTTTCTTAAAATATCCATTAGATATTAAAATTGGATCTTAGATTCAAAGAATTTAAGATTACTTAGTATAGATAAAGTAGAGATTAACTTCAAGTGCTCTGGGGTTTTTCTGTATTTTAAGACGTTTTAACACCCCATTGCTTTGATTGGTTTCTGACTTCATTGTTTCGAGGAAGTACATCTTGGGAATTTTTAAAAGTTTATTCTTTTAAAACGCATTTAGCAAGACATGAGTGATATAATTTCTCTAATTAAATGTTAAATGTGATGAGAACCTGCAGTCCCTGCCGTGAAAAGCGATTTGTGCAAAGTTCATGGCTTACTTCTCTTTCAATCGTTTTTCCATCACAATAAATATTCCTGCATACCAAAAAACGACCAAAAATTCAACACCTTTTTCGAATGGAAATAGTTGGTAAAATATGATGATTGAACTTTTTTTGTTAGATAGGTTCTATCAAAAGTTTTTGGGTCTACTTTTAAAACGTTTTTGTCTGTGTGACGCATCTGGGAAATTCTTGGCTCGATGTCTAAGGTGGTTGCCCACCTGGCTGCCTGGTTGCATTCAATCCATACCTTCCACATGCCCCGATGAAAAAAGACAAGCCCGGAGAAGAGAAACTCCCCTGACATGTTGGTCACATGTCAAACGCTTCGATTTTTTTCCACCTTTCAAAAGTAAGAAGGAAGAGGAGGAGGGAGGAGGCAGGTGGCGATGTGACATCCCTGCCAGATTGACATTGCTTGTTCCCCCGATAGATCGAAGTGATGGTGGGTGGGGAAATTGCATTGTTGTCCTTGCACCTGCTCGGAAATTCCCTGCCCCCGCAGTCGTTGAATTGTTCAATGTGGAAATGTTGAGATTACCAATCAGAGTTATCACTATTCGAGAACATATCTGTGACACGGGTTTAGCTTCCGGCAATCGAATAGCAACGCTTATTGGATATTTCTCTCAGGATTGTTATGCATGGGTAAATATTTTGCGACCTGGAAAGCTAACATATGAATATGCTTATATCACTCTGTGTGCACATTTCCTCGAATGCAGCTCATGTGTCATCTGAGGTCGGAGTCCGTCGCAAACCTATGCAAATTAACACGCTTGTCAGCGCTTGCACTCCGCTCTATGGGATACTCTTCAAAGAACTGACTGCATCACTAATTAAATCTGTGCCAAAGAATGGGAAAATAGGTAGCTTACGCTTTGATAACTTATGCATGTAAAATGGGCTATCACCTTATTTTATCTTCTTTAAATTTGGATCATCTTGTTCTGTTAAGATAGTTTTACACCCCTTGCTTATAGTCTATATATATAAACTTTATGATATAAAGCTATCTATTCATAACTCAGAACCAATGCACTGTGCATCTACTTTTATAAGTCTGGTATAAATTGAATATTTTATTATTTTGGCAGAGGCAATGCCATTTTGTGGTTTAAGTTTTGAGAGGTTCCTTACAACTAAGTTATAGAGAATATATGTGATTTGTAAGTATTATATGGGAAGCTCTTTAAGTATTAAAGGTTATAGAGAGAGTTATAAAGATCATATGTGAAGCTCTTTAAGTATGGGAGATCCTTTAAGACTAAATTGTAAAGATTATATCTGAAGGTCTTCAGCTTTATTATAAGGGTTTAAACTCACTTTGCCGCACTTCGCAGGCTATTTACAAGTTTTATGAAATTTTTCCATTACGCTTACAGGGCATTGGCCACATCGGTGTGTCCCACTCCGCTGTTTTCCGTGTTCTATTAAGAGCTTGTCGTTCGGCTGGTGGAAAATGCATGCATTTGACGCGTTTGCTTAGCTGATTGCGGTCCTTGTGCCCCGTGGCGTGGAAAGGAGCAGGATTGGATGGGGTATACCATATTCATATCTCTTGGCCACACGCACAGCGACCAAGTCCGAGGGACAGGAGACAAAGCACAGACGACATGGACAACAAAAAGCGAATTATATTTTCATATTAAACGACGTATGAGTAATCCCTACCCGAGGAGCAGGGGCAGAAGGACATGCAGGACATGGAAATGCCATCGCCATGCTGCTGCTACCACACCCCATACCCAGCAATATTATCTCATTTATTTATAGAGTCCTCTAGAGCCGAGAGCTAATGTCGCTTCCATCGCAGATTGCAGATTGACAGGAAGCGGAAAAGGCCAAATCGAAATCGAGATGTCGGGGATATCGGGGTAAGTGCTGGCGGAAATTGTTTAAATATTCATGCTTATAAATAGGTGAAGGAAATTACAGTCCTACACACGCAGCATTCGATTTGAAAAGCATACGGCACATAAGCTTAAGTTCTAGGAAAGATTATTCAAACGTAAGACCTGCAAGGCCATAAAACATTCCGCAATTAAAATCATATATATACGCAAATTAAAAAAAATATGTACTCCTTTCCCAGAGTCCTTATGGTATATTATATAAAATAATATTTTATTTACGTTTATTTTAGTGTCTTTATACTTTTAAAGTTTCCTAAAATATTTAGGAACTTTCAAGGCAAATTACCATTTGTATACGAAGCGAAATAAATATTTAACATTAATTTAGTTCAATGCCAAATCGAATATTTAATTGAATTTCAATTGATGCTTATTTGGAAAGCCTCTAAAACAGAAGTACATGCATTCGAATTCAGCATTCCTCAATTAAGCTGGAGTGTGGAAAATTGTATTTGAGTGGTGGGCATGAAGTGGGTTTGGATTTGAAAGGATGTGTAAGGATATGCACGAAAGTATGGCTTCGGTTTTTGATAAGTAGGCGGCACACAGACAATGCAGGGCACTTGGTTAGGCGAAAGTGTGTGGCATTTAAAATTAATTGGGTACTCATGAGGGAATGCGGAATGGATGTGGGAGGACACTTACGTAAAACGGCACAAGGACCTGCAACGCCACCTGCAGCTAATTAGCCCAGGTGGACAAAAGCAATGCACGATGTTTGGACAGTCGATGATTCAGGATTCAGGACTCAGGACTCAGGATTCTGATTCAGATTCTGATTGGCATGCATTCTGGCTCACAGACACCGATGCAAACACAAACACAGGAACACAGGCACAGACACAGGCGCAAACACGAATACAGGCGACATAATGGTGTGCGTGTTTGTGTGCGGACTCAAGCACACAAGCACAAATGGCGGTTCGCGTAGACAAACATGACGTAAACCCAAAAAAGTATGCTACAAACTTGGTTCGCCTTTCGCTTACGATTGGAACTCTTATTTTTACCGTTCATTGAGGTTCGTTTTTTTTTTGGTATCTCTTAAGTAGATTTTTACTTTTTTTTGATTATAATTTCGCTGCAATCTGATTTCTGGTTTCAATGCTGCAAAGGAAACATCAAAGGACATACATTTTAATTGGTATCAAACGTTTTGTGGAGGGCGTAAGCGCCGTCGGCATGTCACGCCGACTGGCTGGCGACACCAAGGCCATTAGGCCAAGTCAACTAACAACACTAACAAAATGTGTGTCACATGGAAAAACACTAGATTAAATAAAAGGAAATAGAACCCAGAGATACTCCAATCAAAAATTCAACTTCACTGGGTTACACAACACTGCTTCTGCCTTCGGAATTGGCTAAAATCAAGCGAGAACACACTAACACTTTCTAGCATTGGCTATATTATCAAGGCATTTGTTGTTGGTACCACTTTAAGAGCTCCTCACTGCCCAGTGTCCTTTTTGGATCCGAACTCGCGTCTATAACACTCGAAAGCCGAGGACGGACTGAAGGAACTCCGCCAAAGGACTCGCTGCACGGGCCCCCCTTCGGTTTTTACTCGGCCTTTCGAGTGACTTTCATTTGGCACTCGGGTTTTTGAGTGGTTTTCGGCATTACCATGACTGCCTTTATGGCTGAATTGTTGCTTTGCCTTCCTGTCGTTTGCCGCTTGCATTTTATTGCGCTTATTTTTTATCCTTTTTCGGATTTTCAGTTTTTGTGCGACGTGATTCATTTCCGGTTTCGTACGGAAAGGACTTAAGGTGAGTCGGATGCCACAAAAAATCACTGAAATGCCCACAGACAACGTTTTATTTATGGAGACTAGGTTACAAATTATTAAATTTGTGTGTTCCCATGTTTATTTATGTTTTACATTTTTTATTTAAAGGAAACACGGGTTTATAATTACCATAATAGGGGTAAAATGAATAAAAAGCTATATGGATCTTGATTAAAAAATGGTATTTTTTTTGTAAACGATAAATTATGATTAAATACAATAGAAACCAAATCAATCCGCTTATATTTTCCTTGTGTACCTTTTGGTTTTATTAAATCGGACCAAAAATCATCAAATTTGCATGCCAATTTCACGCCTTGAATAAGGGGCAGGGGCGTAGGTAGGCAGGGGCTTTCGGGGGATTAACCTCTTGGGCATTGGCTGCAAATGAGTGGCTTGTTTATGAGTGGGACGCAGCTAAGCGAGCATCAAATGGCCAGAGGTGTCTGCCTTTGGGAGTGGTGTGTATATGTGTGGGTGTGCGTGTTGTGTCTGCCTGTCGGTGAGTGTAGGTGTGCCACATGGAAGGCGAAAACAGATGGCTTGGCAACCTGTTGGCTCTTGGGTATAAATTTAACCTGCCTCCAGCCACCTATGTATGTGTGTGTAGGCCGCTCTGGTTTTTTGCCGCCCTGCAGCCATCCTTTATGCTCGCAGCGCACCAACGGGTCGTATGCGCAATTATTGCCATAATGGCTTCACTTAAATTTTAACCCCTGTAGGGTCCGGGCACCTTTAACCCTGCAATGCAAACGGATCCTAGACGTGACTCATTTCTCAAAATAAAACGCTTAAATCAATTCGAACGTATCTAAGCTAATATTGAGTAACTAATAAGGACAAAACGGCTTCCTTATTTAGTTACTCAATATCTCGCTTAATTCTAAGCTGTCAAACTAATTAATAAGCAACGTATTTCGTTAATTTCACTTAGAAATTATCATGACAATGGAATTTGCACAATTAGAATAATATTTGCTTAACGTACCTCTAAATCTCTTCATATTCGAATATATATTATGGAGGAATTCCCAATAGTGGCTAATGGTATAACAACTTGCATTGATGGTCTATGGAAAATTGCTTTCAAAATCAGCCTATTGTTTGCATCCATTTAAATTTTTTGGAGATAGCATAATGTTATACTTGGGATAAACTTGCAAATTGTACAATTTCTAAAAAAATTCATTGAAGTTTTGAAATTTGCGACTGCTAGTATGCCACACTAACCTACAAGCTCTGGTTGTCATAGAACTCATATTGAACAAACAAACTGAACGAAAATTCCGATACTCCAGCGTTAAATTTATATTTTGTTACACCCCCAGTATTAGCCATGTCCGGACCCAGGGACCATCCTTATGGGTCCACAGTGCGCCACACATTGTGGCACGGTCCAATCGGCCGGTGATCAACCGGATGATTCGATCCGCCCGAATGGACTCCACTTGGGCCAGAACCGGGACAGAAGCCGGTTAAGGAGAAAAAGACTGAGGTGAAGCTGCAGCTGATGCAGAAGGAACGCTCCTCAAGCACCGGGATGAGCGGATTCTCCAAGCTGACCAACCGCGACGGCCTCAAGGGCAAGGATTACTGGAACGCAGCCATCGATGATGTGGAGTTCGCCGCCGCCTGTCGCTTCGAACCCCGCATTCCTGTTATAGACTACTCCTTGGTATTACCACCTCGCTTGCGTGAGAGGGTGAAGCGCATCCAGAACTACGACCACTCCAAGTCCGACGAGGACATCTACATCCGGGATGAGATGCAGGAGGTGCGACCAGAGGACTACATGAGTGCCGAGAGCTCTGAGAGGAGCGAGGAGGAGGAGGACACCGTGGTGGGTACTTAAAATTTTTTCCAAGGCCTTTATTGACCTCGGAATTCTAGCTTCTCGAAATTGGCCGGAAGAAGGTGGAGGAGTACTTCAACGAAAGCGAGCACTCGGATATTGTGCGCATGGAGCACGAGTTCGAGAAGTTCGACTTGAAGCTGGATGAGCCGGTGGGTCACACCCATCGCGTCGTGGACAAGACCAGTTGGTATGCCAAGTTCCTCTGCGCCCCGCGGGACAAGAGGGTCTGCTGGCAGAGCCGAGTCGAGCATCCTGGCCAGAACTACTCCATGGTGACGCTGGACGAACAGGCCGAGAACCTCATGGATGCGGTCAGTATGGGAAAAATAAAACCATTATAATATAATATCCTTATTGTTTATTTCTATCTCCATAGTCGGCGGAACGCTTTGTAGAGTGGCTGAACTCCTTTGGCACTTTAGAGAGCAATCTCACTCCGGAGAAGTCAAGAACCTCTTCTCCATCAAGGGCGATCGCACTTTATTGGCCTCTGTAAAACAGATCCCAAGGAGGTCAATGCCATAGCCCAAACGGTGGCCGATAAATGGAACAAACCACACGTGGGTATCCAACGAAATAATAAAAATTTTTTATATTTCCTAAATATATTTTTTACCCCATCATAGATGGCCATTGAGCTGAAGTACGAGAAGCACATCAATGATCACGCCACCCGTGTAACCAGAAACCTCTACTGAGTGCCTTCGGACGCACTGTACCCCTGAAGGATCGCCCCTGGCTGAAGCGATCGGGCGACACCGAAATCAAGACTGTCTATCCGGAGGAGCTGCTGACCCGCGAGAAGATCTTCAAGGGCATAACCCACCTGCGCAGCACCACGGCCCTCATCGACTTCTATCTGGCCCATCCGGAACTGGAGCGGCCGCAGTATCTTCTGGAGAGCGGCGACTTCGAGGAGTCCAGCGCCAGTGAATCCGTGATCGAGGTGCCGCTCTACGAACTCCTGGGATTGCGTTATTAATCCCGTTTTTGCCATTATCTTGATAATGTAAATTGTTAGTTACTAAATGGCTACACATGCAGTACAAAAATGTGTACATTTCTACTTTAATTGGAGAAATACCTACAAATTAATAGTGATCTATTGAGCACTAACAATATACATAACAGAAATTTTGTAAAGTCTAATCTTTTATAAACATTTTACATATACAAATTTGATGTTTCATGGTGAAAAATTTTAGTCGCTTAAAACAGGTTTTAAAAAACATAAATAATTTTATTTAAATAAATTATTTTGACTGACTTAAAAGCATGAAACCGTACCTAGAACCTTTCCAATTTCTTTCCATCCCCACTATTTAATAAAGAATCTAACACAGATAATCAATTTATTGGTAACAAAAACTAGTATTACAGGGTAGCGTGGTCTGAATCCAGGGAAGGTAGGTGCCACATTCACGTAAACTCCCGGAACTCCAGCCTGGGCGCAGCCATGCCCCAGGCCACCAGACCCACCACATACCAAACCCCATTGCTGGTGCAGACCAGAGGAGAGCCTCCATCGCCGGTGCAGGCATCCTTGCCAGCTTCGCCGCCGGCACAAATGAAGCTGGTGGGGCTGAGGATGAAGGAGGGCCCAGCCGAGTGGCCTGCAGCGCCGCCTGGCAGTTGGCATTGGGAATCAGGGTCACGTCCACCTGCCTCTCAATGGCTGGTAGCCCCAGTGGCTCCAAATCATTCTTGCCCCACCCGGCCACCCAACATCTCTGACCCACAAAATTGTGGTGGGCAGACAGACGGTGCCCACCGTGGATTTGCTGGTCAAGGAGACGGCACTGGACAACTTCAGGATGGCCACGTCGTTCTGCAGGTTGTTGGGATTGAACGAGGGATTCACGTACACATTCGAGATGTACACATCCTGGGCGGGAATGGGTTCGCTGGTGCTGCTGGCATCCCATTCTCCCAGGCGAACTTTAAAGGAGGTGATCCTAAGGAAATGGAAAGTAATTAAGGTGATCCTGGAGCAGCTAGACCCAACTCACCCCAGATTGTAGACCTTGTGGGCGGCGGTCAGGACATGTTGGGCGGTTATGAGTGCCCCACCGCCCAGGTAGACATCCGCGGTGGTCAGCAGAGCCGCCTGCCAAGGATACGCTCCGAAACTTGCCTGACCCGCTCCTGCGGCGGAGGAGCCGGGTGGAGGTGGAAAACGGCGACCACACTGATAGCTTCCTGCCTGGCAGCAGGCCACCAGTCCGTAACTGCAGGTCAGGGTGGCAGAGGTGCTCGGAATGGGGGGCTGCACAGGGGTATAATGAAAATTACCCTTATATTATATAATAATTTTTATGTTATCTCACATATCCCCCATTATTCACAATCCTAATGTCCAGCTGGCCACTGCCATCACTGGGCACGGTAGGTATGGGATTGGCACAGGATCCGGGTGGAACGCACTGGCAATAGCTGTTGGTTCCGGGATTCACAATGGAGGGCACAGGTGGCCAGGTGCCCGGTGCACCTGAGGTGGCAGCAAGGTGCCCACAATCAACTGTCTGGTTAGAACTGTTGGGAATCTGATAGAATCCAGAGAACTACATTTGGCAATAGGACTAATGGCAGCCACTTACTCGTGTGGTTGGCCGTGCTTCCCACATCGCTGGGTTGAGGCACTCTACCCGTATCCTGATTATCATTTGATTGAGCTGGCCCAAAGCTCCAAGCCAGAACCTCTACACTAATTCCTGTTCCGATGAACAGCCACTGCAACAGTGGAAGCCACCACATCCGACCGAACTGAGTCATAGCCACTGACAACTAAATCGAGACGACGAAGCTCCAACGGACTATATAGCTATGGCCTGCCCATAACTCCCTCTATTAAATTACTTGACGAATGGCCTCCTCAGCCCAGGGATTTTCCGAGCTGCATAGAGCAACAAAAAAGCAATCATAAAAACCAAATTAGGGAAATAGCAGCTGCAATACGAAGTGGAAGTACTCTTTTAAGTGTGAAATATATTTACAGATTATGGAAAACTAAAAATATATTTCAAAATTGAATATATCTTGCTAATAATATTATAAAAATATATGTTCATTAAAATTGTTATTACTATATACATATCCACACCCAAAGAAGTTACAAAGGAAAATTATTCATAGGTAATGTTTCAATTTTAAAATGCGAGATAAAACTTCTTGAAATAAGACAAAATGTTATAGTATGTGTTTTTGGATCACCTTTCTAAGTTTAGGATAATGAAGAGAAAACCAAGAATTATTAAGAGAGTAGTAAAAATTATAATAAAAGCAAACATTAATTCTATCATTTACGAAACCGAGAAAAAGGGTGTTACTGTAAAGTACCAAATAAATTAAATCTAGATGCGTCGTGTTGACAACTCTCTGGTTCGATAATTTCATTCAGCTGAATGTTTCCATTGTTAACAAACAATTTTTTAGCTGCTCCACATTTTTTAGCTATTAAATTTGATTCTAATAACTTAATGGTTTAATTGCAAACGATTTGGTGGCGATTCATGTTTGACACTTTCCGCTTGAAAATCAGTCGTCGCATTTCCCCTTTTTTCCCACCCCGAAAACTGTTAGCAACTTGGCACCAGAATTTGTTTAATGATTCACGCCCCACAACATTCCGTTCGATCTAACACTAAATCCCCGACTAGAGCTGTTAAACTGGGCGAATGTTAAGTCCCAGATAGGAAAAGCTCTCGAGCTTTCATATCAGTATTAGGTGCAGCCGGCTAACTAACGTTACCTTGTTTAGTTCTAATCATTTGGTGCGGCAAAGTGGAACGAAATGGGTCACCTGCAGCTGGATTTCCATTCTATCCCCAAGCTACATGGTCGGGAGAACTACTGGCAGTGGCGCATCCTCCTGAAGACCTATCTGGAGGCCAACGATCTGTGGAAGCACAACGAACCCAAGGAGGTAGCTAAATGCTAATATAATACTCTAATTGTAGTACCATTTATTTTTAACCTTATCACTTGTTCATTCCAGAGCCCAGAAACTAAATTCCTGATTTTGGCCAGCGTTACGGCCGATAAGATTGAGCCATCCTACGATGACCAAAGCTGTTCGTACATATTCCAGAATTTGGAAGGCCGTTTTGGGCCTTTCAGTTAGAATTTTAATTAGTAATGTTGTGGGCCAACTGTGTATGCTCTAAATATATTTGTCTATCGATCATTGAGCTGGCTTTCTTATTTCTTATCTTTGGTTTCTTTGTCATCGCCGTTTTTGGACTTCTGGCCTCCTCCATCGCCTCCGCGACCTCCTGCCTTGTCGCCTCCATCGCCACCACGTCCAGATCCTCCATCATGTCCATCCCTTGGGTTTTTCACATCTTTTTTATTTTCCCCTTGCTTTGGGTCTTCGTTTTCGGATTTTCCTGCTCCGCCACGACCACCATTTTTTCCACCTCCATCACCACCACGCCCACCACCTCCTCCGCCTCCGCCTCCACCTCCTGCGCCTCCTTTTCCTCCTGACATTAAAGTTATTAAACTTCTTGATAAGGAAAAGTTACAAACTAGTAATTTGACTACAACATTAAAGAGAATAAAAACCTGTGTGTAAATTACACAATTGCTTTAGCAAAGAGCTATGATCAAATTTCTTTTACCATTATTTTTAAATTTTTTTAAAGGTAAACTCGAAAATTTTAATTTAACTTACGCTTTTTTTCGTTGAGCAACCCTGTACATAATTAAAGAATCCTGGGTCTTCCATTTTCAATCTTTTTTCGTTTTTAAAAAATAAAATACTCACATTACTAACATTTTTGCATCTCTAACAATGAGATTCATTTATTTAAGTGAATTTGGTTTTTGTCAACTAACACGTGCCATCTGAATGGATTAATCTGCTTTCAATTCCTTTACAATGCATTGATCTCTGCTTAAATCTAGTATTACGATTTAAGGCACTATGCAAAGCACTACGTACAGATAATTTCGCTTGGTATCCTTCAGAAAAAACAACTCTTAACAAACACTACATATAAATATGCTATATGTACAAGCTAAAAGGTGAGGGAGCGTAATGCTCCTTTGTTCCGATAACGGTGATATTGATATCCGACGATATTCGATATATGATTCTTGACTAGCACTTTTGACCGCCTCCCGACGGCGGCAATTGGTTGGGATCATAGTAGAAGACACTGGGCGTCCACGGCCTCTCAGCTCCGGCCATCAGTTCCGGATTGGCAACCGCCACCGTCTGGCAGCCGCATTCCGGGCCTTTGCCCCTACCCTCGCCGGGGAACTCCTGACCCACCGCCTGGGCACGCAGCACAATCTGGTGGGGATTGGTCACATTCACATTGGTTATTACACCCGCCTCGTGACGAAAACTGTAGAATCTATTGGTCAAATGCCATCCACGTAAATCTGAAAAACAGGAAGGGTTTTCAAATATACCTTTAGATTAGTTTTATTTAATACCCACCTCGAATCCTGCTATAGCGCGGCAGTCTTCCACTTTCCATCTGACATAGAGAGCGGTGCAACCCAAACTGGTAACACACGTAATCGTAGCCGGAAAACTATCCCCCGGTCCAGTCCTATTGGTTGCATCATTTGCCCTTACGTCCTGGGAATATACAAAAGATTTTTAGTAATATATAAATAGGTACTATGGATGGGTCGCCTACCTTGGGCTTCGCCTGTTTGTTTCCCAGCACACAGTCCATGGCATGCATATCTATGATCATAGAGTCTATAAAGTATTTCTGCAAAAAGAAAATGGTTATATTAAGATTAGAGTTACCTAAGACGGTTTAAGATGATAATACTATCATATCTCTGGTATAACTTACCATTTCGCAGAGTGGATCGCACATGGCCGATCGGAGGGTTTTGGAAACCGTCTTGCACTCTTCGTCGCAGATGAGGGCGCGACAGTGGCAGCAGAGGCATCCCTGTTCAGGTGCCTCCGCCCGGCACTCCTCCTCACATTCTTCGGGGTAATCCCCGGGGCATTCCGGTTGCACTCCTCCGGGCAGTCTTCCGGGCACTCTTCTGGGCATTGCTCGCATTCGGGCGGGCACTCTTCATCTTCGCAGGAGTGCAGAGGAGTGCCACCACATATACCACAGTCCTTGAGGGCTTTCGAAGGAGCTGCTCGCAGAGATTTCGCACATTGGGTGGAAGAGGTCCTTCGGGCAGAAGACCAGTGCGCGGACCCCTGGGCACACTGTTCCTTCTGCGCACAGGGCTCTACATTGTAGGGATAGGCCGCCCAGTCCGTCTCCTCTTTGATCCACGGAGGACAGGACACCATGCCGGCAAAAGGACACTCAACCTGCTCGGGTTTCTCCTCCCTTACAGGGGCACAGGGTTCGTGGGTCCTCACAGATTTCCTTGAGTATGATGCTGGGTGTTTTTGGTTCCAGGTCGTTGCCTTCCTTTTGGGTCTCTTCCTCTAGAATTTCTTGCACTTCCTTGTTGATAAAGGCTTTGAGGGATTGGCAAAGATCTGGCTCTCCATTGGTTGATTCTCTCCGTTACAGTCGCATTATGATCCTCTTCTTCCTCCTCACAGTCACGGAAGACATCGCCATCTAGGCCATCACCTGAGCAGGTTAAAGAATTTCCCAGGTCGTAGAACTTCTCCGAGCAAGGCTGGATTGTTCCATCTCCACTGGAGGTTTTTGGGGTTCTGCATCGGGTGGAAAGTCCGGGTCCAGTTCAAAGGCGTAGATATCGTCTCTGGGACCTCCGGCTCTCCCGGCGGCAAGTAGCACTTGCGCAGGTATTCCTCCAGCTGATGGAAGCACTCTACTCGTCGACCTGCCTTTTGGACATGGGCTTCTCGCCGGCTTCTCCTCACCAGTGCGGTCATGTTGGTTCGCCAGCACTCATCGAAGGTCAGACAGGGGGCCTTGGCTCATCTGCCGGAGCAACTGCATCCTCCCTTTCCGATCTCAGCAATAGTGTCATTTCCCGGAACAGCTGTTGGATCAGGCAGGAGCGGGACTCCCCACATTCGCATCCGGAAGTGGTGAGCTTCTCCATCAACTGGAGGATGCGCTGCTTGCGCGTGCAACAGGCCATGCTCTTGTTTCCGCAGAGATCCTCGGGTGTCTGGAAACCCGTGCCCTCCTGGGCACTCTGCATCTCTGCCAGATCGTTCTTCAGATAGCACTGGCACTCCTTGCTCACACACGTCGACTGGGCGGGATCCTGGCCGGAGGTTCGTCGTAATTGCACAGACAACTGCCGCCCGAGAGACTCGGTGGGTGTGGAGGCTGGTCTGGATGGGATCGGACAAGTCGGAGGACCCATCGGACTCATCACAGTCACAGAATCTCCACTGTGGTCCTTCAGGCTTACTTTTCTCGAACGAGTAGAGGCACTGGGTTGGCATGGAGCTGACTGGCAATCCTTGAACTGGGCGAATCCAGATGGATGTTGTATCCTGGTGGAGGGACATGGCGGAATGCTGCGCTCTTCTCCACACTCTGGGCAATCCTGATGGGCAAGATTGGCCACGAAATCCTTGGCGGGCTGCTGCTCTGAACCGCACAGACAGGTGATCTTGCCCACAATCGACCGGGATCTCGTTGTAGCCGAGGTCTCATCGTCCACTCCAAAGGAGGGCTGACTACATGGGTTTCTCGCACTGGAAGCATTCGATCTGGAAGTCATGCTGCGGTAGTTGGGATGGCTCGGTGGAAGGAAAGTCATTGAGGAATCCTTGTTGGTCTGGGTGGCATTACAGGTACACGGAGGTCGTTCCTCCTTCTGGGCGGGCATCCCTCGGTTTCTGGATCTTTTAAAGCGGACAACCAAGTTACGCCGCTCTGGTTGGCCGACTAGATCTTTCGGGAAGACTGGCAGACTCTTGGATCGGGAGTGCTTTCCCTTGGTTTGCCCGGTCCAGCAGGGGAGAGAAGGTGAAGTTGCTCTTAAAGGAGGTTTCTACTGTGGGAGCCCTACTGTGGGATGGTCCGGAAACCAGGTTACTTTGACCCGCCCAGTAAGGTGGATTGGAGCCACAAGTGCAGGGATCAAGGAGATCCTTGGTGCAAGCTGTTAGAGCACTTTTGAACGATGTTCCTGCACTTTGTTCAGTCACCGATGTTCTCACGGAGCATGGCTTCTTCTCACTGGGTTTCTCCACTTCACTGGAAGGACTGCATCTTTGTGACACGCACATACATGGGTCTTGACCGGTGGTGGATCGGCGGACTTAGACCGCTTGGGCTTGCAGGAACAGGTAGGTCCTTCATCCAGTTTCGTTTCGGCCTTCGGTCCGGCTGGGGTTCCGGGTACTTGGGCGTGTGGTGTTTCCGCAAAAAGGAGTCCTCCGTCTGCGAAGGCTTGGCATGTGGATCCTCGCACTCGGATAACTGGGACTGCGGGGCTTTCGACGGTTCCAGTGGTCTTTTATGTAGGATTGGTCGGTCTGTTGGTGGCGGGAGTTGGGGTCGCTGTCGGAATGTCGCTCATGCTGCATGTACATCAGAGCCGGGCATTCTGGGATGATAAGATGAAGAATAAGATGGTTTTAAGAATTAACCAAAACGTATTTATACTGAGGAGGAAAAAGAAAAATGACAAGAAAAATTCCCATAAAATCCTTCTGTATCCGTTCATAACCATCTTACCGTCAGATAGAATCCGTTCCCTGCAAACATAACCATCTTTTGGATCATAACCGATATACCGAATAATTTCCGTTCACAGTGCCTCAACCGCTAAATAAGGTACCTTTAATCTGAACCCATTTCTATTCAAAACAAAAGATTTACACTTAATAGCTAAAAACAAATATTACAACTTTAAACTGATGAAGAAAATAAAATACTTTCAAAGATTTCTTAAAGTAAAAGAGATGAGAATGCAAGAACCTTAGATATTACTTAGGTTATAGAAAACGTTAAAGGATTTTCTCAAATTTGATCATGGATAGCTACAACGCTTACGTTATTGTTGCGGTTAAAGCTCGAAGGGATGGGGGCTCTTAACCGATACCGAACCGATGCCGAAAACCGTTTCGGCAACCGGTTCCCCGGCTAGAACACACATAACTCGATTCGATTCGATTTGATTCGATGGGCAAACACATTTATTCGGGTGGATGGCTTATGGGTACGAGCAGTTCCTTGATCTCCGTCAGTCGAATTTCGCGGCCCCGCGTTATATCTGGACGGGACCACATCTCGACGTGGTACAACTCCAGGAACTTGGCCTCCGCCTTTTCGCGACACGGACAGAAGTCGAAGTAGGATGCCTGGCTGCAGACCTCGCGGTCCTCGAACTTGGTGAAGATGGTGCCTCGCTGGACGCAGCGGCAGACCTTGACATTGATGTGCTCCTGGTTTTGGACGAAAGAGCGCTTCTTCCACGGACACATGCAGCAGCCACAGTTGCCGGGACAGAACACATTGCCGTCCTCGTCCATAATGGGACTAGGATCGAAGCGGCAGGGCGAGCAGTTGGAGAACTCCTTGTTTTGGGGCAGTGCGAGGTAGTATCGCTTGCCTACCGGCTGCGGTTCCTGTGGCGGCGGGGCACAGCCACCTGCTCCTCTTCGCTGGACTCGATCTCATCGGAATCCTCCGACTCGGTGGTGCGATACTCGGGCTCTGGTTCCGGGGCATAGATCCTCAAGTGTTCCGGCGGAGGCTTAGGCACCTCCGGCTCCTCCTCGGGCTCCTCAATCGGCAGTGGCACTGGAATAGGAATGGGCTCCGGTTCGGGCTCCGGCACAGGCAGACAGCAGATGGTGATCACCTCCCGCGCCTCCGGATCGTACCAGTGGCCACAGGTGGCCGGTGTGCAACGAGTGTAGTAATGTGAGGTGGAGTCCCCACAGCTGCCCATGTAGGCCGAACTGGCGACCCTTCGGTCAGCTGCTGCGATGCACACGGGACAAACTGTTCGCTGGCGGATTTACCTGTGCTGGGCTTGGGTGTCCTTGGCGGCGGTCGCATCGCCTGGTGGGATCGGCACTGGCAGATGGACTCCTTGCGTTGCCTGGTGGCGGGCGGATGCTTCTGCTGGCAGCTGACCATCTTGTTACCCTGCGGATTGAACTCCAGCGGCATCTGGACAGTCACTGGTTTGCCGTGGAGAGGACAACCGGCTCGACCCTTCTTGGGGTCCACCAATCGAGCGGTCAGTTCCAGGGTGACGGCACAGGGTTGGTTCCAACCCCCAGCCTTGTCAAAGTTCTTGAGCAGCATCTGCGTGGCATTGGCCGCCCGTTCCAGGGCCTCCCGAATGGCAGCCGGGTCTTCCAGCTTGCAGCGACTGGTGGCACTGCGTCCCTCTTTGGAGAGTCCTCCGCTGGCCCCTGGCAGTCGAAGAAAATGTCCTGGTCGCTGCGTGTCTGCTGAAAGTTGTCGCCCATGTAGAGCAGCCTCGTCGAGTCCATTCCGTGCGTCAGGGTGATGGTGCTCCGGCTCACGAAGCGACCATGCGAATATTCACTGGGCTTGATGCTCGGATCGGCGGGCGGATTGGCGTGTTCCTCGTCCATGACGCTCGAACTGCTAGAACTGTTTTCCCCAAATCAAGCTCTGAACTCACATTAAATTTTTGAGTGTGTGTTGCCTGCTCGATTGTGTCTAAAATACTGACTCCAAACGGGGGAAAAAGTGACAGTTGCGAATTGGTTACTACGTAACTCCTATGATTTCACAACTATTAAAAGGGGTTAGCCTCATATTTGTAATGCATTTTATTTATTGTCTTGCTGGTATTGACTATATCCCGAATTCATCCTCTAAGATCGCGATTTCTAGGCGATCGAACATAATTCCTTACTATCAAGTTTCAAAATTTCCGTTCCTAACAATTTCTATTTGTAGTAAATTTTGCAAATAATTAAATGACCGTTATTTCCAGTCTTTTTGTCAAGATACAGATAGTTTGGGATTTTCCCCAAAATATACCCTTAAAGTCAGTTCAAGGACTCAAGGTATGACCCCATCGAAAATACCAACGACTACCAAAGAAGAAACACATGTTGCCTAAACATAGTTCAATTTAGTTCTAAACAATTGTGAGATAAATTAATATCTTTGAGGACATTAAAAGGTGGCTGAACACTATGGAATTCACGAGCGTTGACTGGGTTCCTGGCAATCGGGACAGACGTTCTCCCTGCTGCACCACCTCACACTGGGCCTCCTATTCTTGGACTTGCTCTGCTTCCGGGTGCACTGCAGCCGCAGAACGTTGCCAGCGACTTCGGCTGGAAGATGTTGACCTTGACCTGGCCACTCTCCGGATTCAGTTCGATGGGCAGCTTCAGGGTGACCGGGTCGCCAATCAGCTTGCATGCCTGTCCTTGGACAGGGACACTTGTCGTCCGTGTGGAGACGGGCACTGACCTCCAGGGTTGCCGGATAGAAGCGGGTCATCGAGGGTCGAGTGGGCACGCAGTCGGTGCCTCCGTAGCATCTCAGGAGTCGCTGGGTGCAGTGGCAGCCCGCTCCAGAACGGCCCGAATCTGGCCGGGATCGTCGTAACGGGGCGCCTGCTTGCAGATCACCTCATCGCCACCACCCACTGACAACTCTGGAATCTCCTCGTCATCGCTCCGGCAGTCATGGAAGGTGTCCACATCCAAGTCCACGTCATTTTTGGCCATCATAATGCTCAACGAATACACAATTTGGAAACGATCTGGTTCTACCGATATTACAAATGATTCTGCATAGGGAAACTAATCTCAAGGCATGCCCGATTTAGAAAATATACTTGTATGACTTGTAGGTCAAAGGCAATTTTGGACCTCAGCTAATGGGTTAACTACAACCCAACGTACGTCAAATTTTAACCAAACCTAAAGCCATGTTTAGATCACATTGGATAGGTAGAGCTATATGCTTTGATTGGGTACCCAATTAGTAATTTGATTACTCATTTTGTACACCACCAAAGCCGATAAATCTAATCTAATCCTTAATCGAATGATATATCATATGACACACCCATGAAGACCAAAAGGTAGGGAACAGTCACTCGGTAATTTACATTTATGTTTGGAGTATTTACATCGAAATGGAGATTTAAGAGACAACTCATCTGGGGCCCCTGAACAACATGGAGTTGCTGCGCTCCACGGGAATGTAGACGTGCAGCAGAACTCCGACTCCATCTTCTGGTTGTGATAGAGCACCAGGCGGCATGGATGCGCTGCTCGATCTGATCCAGGAGCTCGAGGAGGCGGGCTTGAGGCACTCTTAGACTTGGACACAGCCGAGAGCCGCCACGAATCCCTCGTAACTCTCCAGCGACTCCTGGTGGTTCTCTCCGTCCACATGTCCTGCATAAACTCGAGGTGCTCCCGGAAATCTTCCCCATCCTCCCACAAATGGAGCAGGCGGGTTCGGAAGGCGGACACATCGAAGTACCGTCCACTGCACCCTGGAGAGATCCACAAAGCACCTGGTTCTCAGGGGCATTAGGAGCAGTCGCTGCTCGACACCCACATCCGCCTGAGTCCCGCACTCCACCATTTCCGGTTGCACCTGGACTTCCTGTTCACTGCAAATGGGAGTGGCCTGAACCTCTTCCTCGAGACACTTGAGTCATCTGTTTGCACGAAAGACACGCTGGCCAGTGATTCCAAATCAAGATTAACCACTTCGGCGTGCAGGGAGTACAGTGAAACCCCAGATCTGGTGGAGTGAGCCGTGTGAACCGACAACACCGAGTGAAAACTGTTACAGGAGAGCTCTGCTGGAGCTGGAAGCCCATAGATCGACTTCGCATGCGGGCACGATATATCCTCCTGAAGAGGAAACGCCGTAACATGGATCGTTGGCGACGTTGGGGTTAGGTTGCTCCTCCTTCGAATCCGTGGCCCGCTTTTTGTTTTTCTTCCGGGCTTCGGCTTCGGCTCAGGCTCTTGCTCCTCAGAAAGCTTCCCATGGAAGAGGCACCTCACTGATTTTTTTTCTTGGCTTCTGCGGCTTTGGTGTTGTTTGTTGCTTAAGATTCGTCCGGCTATCGGCTCCTCCTTGGGATCTTCTGGATTTTTGTACTGATCTGCCCACCTTAAAGCCCCTTGGCCTGGATGAGGATGCCTGGACACTTAGGTAACTAGTGCTAGTGGGATCACTGGCTTGACTTTCCTGACTTTCAAGTGCTTCCTGTTTAACCTGACCTTCTTGACTCTCCCGACTTTCTTGATTTCCCTGACTCTCCAGACTGGTCACAGTCGACAGTCCTGCCCCGCTTATTCTAGTGGATGAGCCATCCTGGGCGGTGACCCAGCTGGCATCCTCTGACTTGACGGACTTGCTCTTGGTAGACTCACCTCGGACGGACTCTGCGAGAGGAGGGTGTCCGCCAGATGCTTCACGCTGCAGGCGATCGCTTGGAAGTCCTTGTGAAGGGGCAGATCAAAGTCGCGACCCTGTTATAGAGATGGTAATAAGGGGTAAATGATTTATTTTAAAGGAATATAGTAACAACCCACCTCTAGATCGAGTAGAGCCACGCCCAGACCCTGGCTGGCGGTCTGTAGATCCGGCACCTCGGTCTTTTTGGCCCGCTTGGCAGGACTATCGTAGAGTTCGTCGGCCAGGCTGTAGCCCTCGGGCATCACGCCCAGTTTTCGCTCCATCAGCTGGCACTGTTCGTCCTTGGTGCGCAGCTCATCCTCCAGGCAGCGCGCCCGCTCCTCCGACTCCTTCATCTGGCCCTCCATCTGGCGGATCTTGTTCTCCAGCGTGCCCACCTCCTCCTTCAGCTCGCTGTTGGTCACCTCGATGTGCAGGTACTCCTTTTTGATATCGAAGATCTGGGTGCGCAGGGCATCCGTCTCCTGCCTCAGCTGATCCTCGGTGTTCTGCTGCATCTTCTTGGCAAAGCTCAGGTCATCCATCAGGGCTGGCTCCTTCGTCGTTCCGTCTCCAGGGCCTCCGTGAGGGGCATCTTGTGCTCCGCTTCCATCTCCATCTTGGCCATCACGCTCTCCATGCTGCACTGCAGCGTCTGATTCTCGGTGAGAAGGTCGCGATGCTCCTTGGTCATGCGCACCAGGCAGGTCTTCAGCGCCTGCTCACCCTCTTCCAGCTGCTGGATCTTCTCGGTGGCCGCCCGGGAGTCATCCCGCAGGCAGTCCTGCAGCTGGGTGATTTCTGCTTGAGGCTGGCCTCCTTGGCTCGGTAGGCTTCCTCGCGCTCCTTGTACTGCTGCTCCAGGTCCACCCAGTGGGAGTCGGCCGTTCCATGGCCTCGTAGTGCCGGGCATTCAGTTCTTTGAGTTGGCTGCGTAGGCTCTTGACCTCCTCCTTGAGGTAAACGATCTCACGACCCTCGCCGGGATCAGCATATCCCATCTGGCCCAAACCAAAGTCCGCTGTTTGCAGCTTGGCACTGGAGTTGAGCTTCCTTGGGCTGTGGAAGTATAGCCCGAGGAGAGACGTGGACTGCCCTCTGGCGAGGAGACATTGTTGCCCATTTTGGCCAGGGATAAGAGACGACAGATGAGCAGCAAGGCAGCGATCTCCGCAGATCCTGCAGCTCCTTTCTGGCCTGCTTCCTCTCCGCTTGCAGATGCTCCAACTGGGTCTCGGCTGCCGCAAGATCCTCCCGCAGGATGAGCACCTCTGCCCTGCAATCCTGATACTTGGCGCCCAGTGCCTCCTTGCCGAACTCCAACTCCACGTTGCGTTGGCGAAGGATCTCCAGTTCCACCTCGTTGCGCTGCAGATGGAGTCGCGTGTCGTTCTCCGCCTCCTCGAACTCGCACTTGGCCTCCTCCAACAGGGCGTTCTGTTCGGTCAGGTGCTCCACCCGGTCGGCAAGCTCCTTGAGATCCTTCTCCAGCTGCAGCTCCCGCTGCAATCTCTGGGCCAAGTGACGCGCCTGGGCGTCACCACTGCTCTCGTAGATCAGGAGCTTGCCCTCCAGCTGCTCCAATCTCTCCTGGTAGTACTGCAGGTGGGTATGGCTAATCCCACTGGATGGCAGATCGCACTCCACGAACACTCCGCTCTCGCTGAGGCTGCTGCTCTGCCAAGAGCTCACCTGGCTGCAGTGCCTCTTGCTGGGCGTGGGCGGGGCGGTGGGCGTGGCACAGTTGCTATACGGCTGAACAGTGGCTACGATCCTGTGATTGTGATTGTGATTGTGACTCTGACTATGACTTTGGGTTGGGTTGTGCCTCCGGTGGGTTTCCGTCCGGTTCTGTTTTTGGGCGAAAATAAAACAAAACTTGAATTTTTGCGATTTCTAAGTCCGAAATTTTCATAAGGATGGCTAAAACGAGTGAAGCTAAGGAAATAACTGGGGTATCAATAAGTATATGGATTGAATGTATATGTTTGCAAAACACGCAGTAAAGTTGTCTACGATTAACTGACAAACATAAATGGGCTAGCTAGGCTCCAAATTTATGATCTTTGTTTGAGTTACATTTTGTGCCATTTAGTACAGATACAATACCCAGAAAACACCCAAAAACTGGTATTACCCAAAACAGTTTCCCTGCCCATATATTTTTATAAAAATTTATTCAACTTATTACCTTGGGTTCATTTTAGGTAATCTTTCCTAAAATATAAGGGCAGCTATTAGGTAATAGATCATAATTTTAGG